TATTAAAATAAAATATATTTTGATTTTTTATGGCTTTTCTGATTTTTGTGTTATTTATGTTTTATGAAAAATAAATTAATTTAAAGGATAAAAAAAGATAATTGAAACAAATGAAATAAGAAAGAAAATAATTGCAAAACCTTGGGGGGGGGGGGGTTCTGTCCCCAATTGGAGGTTTTGTTCAGTAATTCAGGCCCACTTGTCTATGGCCTCATTTGACTTTTATGCTGGCGTGTGTACGCGTGGACTGATGCACATCATGGTCTCTGAATCCTGGCCCTTTGATTGATCTTGATAAGCGCGTGGCACGTTTGGATCATTGGGCGTAGGATGAACCTTAGGAGGTAAGCTGCACAGGATGACGCTAGAAAAAATATTATGGAAAGGGAGGGGGACCTGGAGTTCGAACCCAGGTCCCAGAGATTACCAATACACATGCCTTGCCAACCGCGCTGCTATGCTTCTTTGTATATTATATAACTAGTAAACAATATCAATCAAAACATGCGTTAGTGGACAATTTTAGCGCGAAATTTAAATGAACCAACCACGCCTTGCCACCTAGTCTTCGTCTTCCTTGTTTTGCTTTTTCCTGAAACATAAAAAAGGGTTAGCGGGGGTTTTAAACCCCCCCAAAATACACTCTTTTCCCAAATAGCGATTAGGCCATATGGTTATATAAATTAGGCGCGAGGGGTGTATTATATTCGTCCAAGCTTCCTGATTTCAACCATGGCATTGAGGTGTCCTAATTTTACACGATGCATAAACGCCCAATTTCACAGCTTGGTAACCCTAATAATCGTCCATGGTGAATTCTTCAATAGGGCACGAAAACTCAATTAAAGTATGCAGTTAGCTTTAGAAACAATCAATTAGTATGAATCCATAAAAGAAATGCAATGGAAATGCTTGAATATTGAAATACGAATAGGCATAAAATTGGAAACAGTTTGAGTTTTGTATACCAATTCTGGGCGTTAGAGTTGATGAATTTTATTCAAACACGTTCCTTGAAGCCTCAGGAACACAATAGAATGGTTATTTGCCTTTGAATCGCACTGGAATGTGGTTTTCAGTTTTGGAATTTTTTGTCAAAAAACTCAAACTTGGTTATGGTGTTCTTGCGCAGCTTAGAGGTTCTGAGCTTTAGGGTTAGGTTTATGCTTGTATAAGGAACGAATTTGATCAATAATCCAAGCCCATAGCCTTGCTTTTAATGATTTTCAAGATTTGATTTTCAAGAATCTTTTCCAATATTTCTTCATGCATATTTGATACAAATCATGTTCAATTGCCTTGCTTCTTTCCAAATCTGATCATGCACGAAATATTGAGTGTATTCCATGCATAAAAAGATTTAAAAACTTAGGTTTGGTATTTTTCATATATTTTAATTAATTAAATGAATTATTAGCAATTAAAAATTCAAATAAATAAATAAAAATGATGGAAAAAACTTCCCTTTGGGCCAAATGGTCGTGCACATGCTTTGGATGATGAATCTTGGAAGAAAAAGAGGCCCATTAGCAATTTTAAGACATTTGAAGCAAAGTTGACTTTTCAAAATATCCAAAAATTTCCCAACTTCCACAAGGCATATCTTGCTCAATTTTTAAGCTTTGCTCATGTTCTTGGACATTTTGGAAAGGTCTGGAAGTCCTCTAACCAATGCCTTTGGTCCAATGTCTTTTTGATTTACCAATCTCAAGTTATGGCCTTTGACTTAAAGTCCCTTTTTGTTGACTTTTGTAAATGACCTATAATGTTGAAATTGATAACTTTTTGTGAGAGAATTTCTTGGACTTGAAGTGTGAAGAGGAGTTGTAGGAAATGTCTTTCTCTTCAAAATGAGCTTTGGATGGAATTTTTCTGATAATCCATGTGGAAGTTATGCCTTGGTCAAATTACAGTTGACTTTTTCAACTGTCCAAATATGGAAACTTTTGCATCTTGAGACTTTTTGAGCCCAGCTTTGAGAATCATGATCAAGCATTGATCAAATGATGTTTGTGGCTTCAAAATGAGATGTTGACCAAAAATTTGAACTTTTGACTGTCAAATGACCATTTTGCCCCTATAGTTGACTGTAGTGCAATTATGGTTTTTGACTGTGCAATTTTGTGCTGTAAGTCTTGAAACTTGGTATGAGGATGCTTGACCATGTTTTTAAGCATGTGGGACTTGATTGGACCCTTGGAAACTTCATTTTCTTTGTCAGGACCAAAACCCTAATTTTTGACTGTTAGGAGACCCTTGAACTGTGCAACCCTTGGGGAGATTTTGAAGCATTGTCTTGGCAAATTTTGAAGAATATGGGAGGGCAAATTTTGGGGTACAACAGGGAGTATTAGTGATATACATTAGCTTTGATGCATTTGTCCAGCTGTATGCTTATGATTGGCTTTCTGTTAGGCTATTGCTATTGGTTGAGTTAGTTGTAGAGGTGGTTATATATTTGCCCACTTGTAACAATGATATATAGAATCTTATCCTCTACTGTAACAAATATCAAGAAGTTTTGAATTTTATAGAAACTACACAGAGTGCATATTGTTGAATGCATAGCATTCTTCATCTTCTACAATCAACAACCCCATTAACCTTCCAAGATGGTGAGTCAAAAGCCAAAAAGAAAGCTTCTTTTAATTGATCCTTGTAGCGGAGAAGTGTTGGACCTCCATCTGTTGAAGTTTCCGGTTTCCGCAGATGCTCCATCTGTTCAAGTGGCACAATATTTCAAGGATCCTTATCAACAAAATCCAAAATAGATAGCTTTTCTAATGGATGAAATAACCTGTGTCCATCGTCACTCTTCTGCAACCAAACATTCTCAAAGGCCACTTTAGCATTATTAACAATTATAGTAAACTCGTCTTATGGCCTCGGAATCGTCCGTATATGAAACGAAACCTTCACCTTAGGAGGTCTTGCATGTTCACCCTTGACAATCCATCGGGCCATAAACTCCAAGCCATAATAGGCTAACTTGCTATTATCCTCTCGAATTGCGACTTCAGCTATAAAAATACATAAGTTCCAGGAGAGGAAAAGGGATTTGTTTTGATCTGTTGCCCTGTACTTTTCAATTATTGCCACCAATATATCAAGTCTTCCCTGTTTGACATAACTCCTCACACAGTTCATAAATAAATTCACGTTACCATATTTCATTGTTAAATATATGTATTTGAATGCAGCATCGATTTGATCAGTTAAAAAGAGCATTTTGATGACCAAGTCATATGATTCATCATCAGGGAGAGCTTCATTTCCTGACTGCAGCATCCGTTTGAGAAGCAAATCATCAGCAAAAACTTTGATCATAAGATTCTCCCTAAGATAATGATTAAACAGATTCACATCAGGCTTATTAGGTTTCCCATTTTTATCCAACTACCTAACCTAAGCCTCAAACAAATCCTTTACATCATGCCACTGTTGCGAAGCCATCCAATCGCCGAACATGTTGAGAAGCACGTGGGAATAGTAGGTTTCGGAGAGTGAAGCGCGCGTGACGAGACCAAACAGAGCTATCGCGTTTGAGTTTGAGGATGGGGGTTTTGGGAGAGGGTTTCGTCAATTCTCGTTGTAGAGTGGGCTCCCTGAAGCGGGATTTGGAGGAAGAGATGAAGGTGTTGGTGTCGGTGTTGGTTCTGCGAGTTCTAGTTCTTAATTGAGAAATGGTTTTGATTGTGATGTTGGTTGATTTGGATTTTGTGAGAAGAGAACGAGTTCGACTTAGGATCGCCATTGATGAACTTGAGAGAGTGAAGTATGTTACTGTGAATTTTGTTTTTGATGTTTTCTTAAAATAGAGATGAAACACTTGTAAATATTTTTCAAAATTTTGTGAAGCACAAGTAAAAGTTGTGTTTATGGGGTAAAATGAAAGAATGCTCCATGGATATGAGTAACAAGTATAGGGTGAATATCTATGATTTAGATATAAATTTGGTGATGATAATGTAATATGTGTGTTGGAATAATAAGGTGTAAAAATTTCTCATGGAAATGAAGGTGTGGTAGGAGTTGAAAAATATGGATTTGTAAGATAGATAGGAAGAATGCTCCATCGATAATATGAATGTGTATGATAAGGGTGATATATAGGAGGATTTGAATACATGAATGAAAACATCAATTGATAGGATGTTAATTCAAGAATCTTAACAAGACTATGAAAACAACTATAAATCTAGAAAGACATTAAAAGCAAACTAAGAAAATAAAGATAAAAGATAACTTTTGATTTTATTGATTGATTTTAGATGTCTATGTGAAACTACATTATATAATATTCTTAATGCATAATGAGAATTTCTTATGACACCCTAGATAGGGGAAAAACCCTATGAAAAACCAAAATTGTCCCCCAAAAGTGAATTTCCGGGGCGTACTCTTAAATTTCATAATGTAAAATTATACCGAAAATGTATTTTCGAGTTTAATATAGGATGAATCTCAAAAACGAATAAATTATATGTGTATAGAATGCGCATCAAAAATATATTTCCGATTTCCAGAGACAATACAACTAGAATCCAATAACAATACTAATAACTAATATTATAAATACTATTATACCCCATCTATCTGATCCAACTACAAAAATTGATCCTCTGAATGCATGGTCTTGAAAAGCTGCTCTAATAAATACATGTAAATAAATAATTTCCTCAATTTCAGTATAATAAATATAATGTGGCAAGTCCTAATAAGTTAACTTTGTTCATAGACGCCGAGGCGTGGGTTCAAACTTGCGAATTATTTCTTATTTTAGTCAAGAACAATGTTCAACGTCAAAGAAATAACATTATTGTTCATTTATTTATAGATATATTTTCCTTTTCTGCGGTGACAGTATTTTCTTCTTATTTTAATGCCATGTTCCTTGCAAGACAAGTTCAACCTACTAAGAAAAATGGCCCCTTTGAATTCATGGTATTGAAAAACTTCTTCTTATTACTTTCTGCAATTGTATCACGAAACAAACCAAAATGACCATTTTTCTGGCCATTCTAGTTATTATATCTATGTCCAAATTATCCTATGGAGCTGATGATACTATTACCCAATCAGATTCACTTTCTGATGGAAGCACCTTGATTTCCAAAGATGAGACCTTCGAGTTAGGTTTCTTCAATCCCGGTAGTTCCCCATACCGCTATCTTGGAATTTGGTACAAAAACATCCCTGTTCAAACTGTTGTTTGGGTTGCAAACCGTGATAATCCTATCAAACACAGCAACTCAAGCAAGTTGATCATAAACAAACAAGGTAATCTCGTTCTTCTCAGCAGCAATCAGTCTCTTCTATGGTCAACTAACACAACAAAGAAGTCTTCAACTCCAGTTGTCCAGCTTCTCAACAACGGAAATTTAGTGATCAGAGATGAAAGTGATGGAGAGAGTTTCTTATGGCAGAGCTTTGACTATCCTACTAATACGTTATTACCAGAAATGAAAATTGGATGGGACAAGAAAACTGGTATTAATAGGCTACAAACTGCGTGGAAAAATTGGGAAGATCCATCTTTAGGTGATTTTACATCATCCATGAGTCTTAGTAATAATCCAGAAGTGGTTGTTTTGAAAGGTTCAAGTGAGTTCTACAGAACAGGACCTATGATTGGTACTACGTCTAGTGGAGTTTATGGGATGCAAGATAACCCAATTTTTAAATCAGAGGTTGTAAGCAATGAAGATGAAGCGTATTTTTTGTTCACCCTAAAGAACAAATCTGTGATTTCCATAGTTGTTTTAAATCAGACTCTTATGCTTCTTCAACGCCTTGTATGGATTCCTGCATCTAGAAAATGGAGTAATTACTTGAACCTACCACATGATACTTGTGATGGTTATAATATTTGTGGACCATATGGGAAATGTGTGATTGACGCATCACCAATTTGTCAGTGTTTGGATGGGTTTAAGCCAAAATCACCCCAACAGTGGAGCACAATGAACTGGGCAGATGGATGTGTGCATACTGGAAATTGGAGCTGTGGAATCAAGAGTAGGGACGGTTTTCTTAAAGTTAGTGGAGTGAAGTTGCCAGATACTACAAATACATGGGTTGATGTTAATATGACACTTAATGATTGCAAGCTCAAATGTCTGCAAAATTGTTCCTGCACAGCTTACTCAAGCTTCACCTCAAATGAAGATAGTGGTGGCTGTACCATATGGTTTAATGATCTTAAAGATTTGAGAGATTCAGATTCTCAGAGAAACCTATATGTTCGAATTGATGCATCAAATATAGGTAACAAATTCTTACATAATAATGTCACTTGATCATACTAAAGAACACAATGTTTCATTGCAGGGGATAAACATGATTATACAAAAATGGCTATCCTGGTGGTTTCGATCATTGCTTTTGCATTCATTGTGATTCTATTGACACTATACATTTATAAAAAAAAGATAAAGAACAAAGGTACTTTTCATATCCTTAGAGCATTTTATATTTCATAACATATACTTTAATTTTTTAAAATTTGAGTACCTTTAATATTATTTAAACCCCTAAATGACGTATGATTAAACATTTCCTGCAATTTGGGTGACGTATTTAACTTAATCCAACATATACTTAATTTCTTAGAAAGTCAATATTTTATTTATTCATAGGTGATATAGAATTTAACTAGTCATATTTAAATTTAATAATCTCTTCCGTAAATATGAGTCTCCGCGTTCTATAATAGGATCTAATACTGAATCCATCTTTTCCTTCCCCACTAATCTAAACTATGGTTTAGATATTATTTGTTGGAGAGTTCGGGGAACACCAGAAGTGTCAAAAGTGTCAATAGACAAAATGTCTAGGATTTAAGAGACATTGATAACAATACTTACCAAAAACCTTAAGACAATAAACATATGAGTCACTTCTCTTATGTATCATATATTTTCTTTCATTCGTAGACGATGTAGGATATAATAATTCACTCTTACACTCAATTTTTTATTTAATATTATTATTCTCATCATCTGGTCAGAAAACAAAAATGAAGGTGAGCATTATAATTTAGACCTTCCTTGCTTTGATCTTGCTACAATATTTGAGGCCACAGATAATTTCTCAAATGTTAACAAATTGGGCGAAGGTGGTTTTGGACCGGTCTACAAGGTATATTTTAAACATTTTTTTATAAGGGTATAAAAAAAATCATTTGAAGTGTTTATCAAATTACTTCCAATCATCAATGTAGGGTAAGTTGCAAGATGGTCAAGAAATTGCAGTCAAAAGACTTTCAAGGAGTTCTGGACAAGGATTGAATGAATTCACGAACGAAGTTATTTTATGTTCTAAACTTCAACATCGAAATCTTGTTAAGATAGTTGGCTATTGTGTTGAAAGCGATGAAAAAATGTTGATCTATGAATATATGTCGAATACAAGCCTAGATTCATTTATTTTTGGTAAGTAATCTTTCAAAGTTTAATATTCATCATACAAGTTTGGTTATTTGTACATGTCATCTTTAAAGAAAGAACTACTAATTAAATTTATTGAGAAATTTTGACAGATCCAATTCAAAGTAAAGTATTAGATTGGCCTATGCGTTTGAACATTTTGTATGGAATTGCCCGAGGTCTTCTATATCTACATCAAGACTCAAGGTTAAGAATAGTACATAGAGATTTGAAAGCGAGCAATATTTTATTAGACCAATATATGAATCCAAAAATTTCAGATTTTGGTCTTGCTAAAATGTGTGGAGATGACCAAATAAAAGGGAAAACAAGTCGAATAGTTGGTACATAGTAAGTATCATAAAAGTTGATAGAGTCTTACACTAACTGATTTAACATTAAATTTATTCATTTTATTTCTTTTCAGTGGTTATATGGCACCAGAATATGCAACTGATGGATTATTCTCAATTAAATCAGATGTATTTAGTTTCGGTGTCTTATTGCTAGAACTTATAAGTGGAAAGAAAAACAGAACCCTTGCCTTCAATCAAAATGATCATAATCTTATTGCACAAGTGAGTATCACTAAAAAATCAATTATTTTTCCTCCACATAAATATTAGATATTAATTATGCTGAAATTGTTGTAGGCATGGAGATTGTGGAAAGAGGGCGTTTTATACTCATTGATTGATGATAGTTTGACAGACACATGTATCCAAAATGAAGCTTTACGGTGCATTCAAATTGGACTTTTATGTTTGCAGCATCATCCTGACGATAGGCCAAATATGACATCTGTTGTTCTGATGTTGAGTAACAATAATATTTTACCTCTACCACATGAACCAGGTTATTTATATAAAAACATACGAGACGAAGGAGAAGTTTCTTCCGAAATACAAACATCTTCTTCAATAAATAATGTAACTATCTCACAATTAGATTCAAGATAAAAAAAAATATAGTTTATGTTAGTGTAATTTTCTATGACAAATATTCGAAATTATATAATTTGTAATTTGTAATTTGAATTTTTTTTTTTTTCATTTTCATTTGTAACTATATAATAGAAAATATTTGTAATTTTCATTTTCACCAATTTTAGTTATTCTGATGATTTATAGTGAAATACAAATAGTTTTTTAGTTGTTTATTTGGATAAATTATGGAACGTTGTGTGTAATTTCTTATGAAATTTGTGCAAGCTTTTATGTAAGAATAGTGTTGGTGCACAAAGTTAATAAATTAAGAAAAAGTATGAACAATGACGGTTATAAAGTTGTAAGGAAGAATAATTGAACTTGATATTATTATGATAGCTACTACTTGTTTATTTATACACAAAGTAAAATTGTCATGTATACCCTAATAAAAAGGTAAACTTAATAACTAAGAAAACTAAACTTAATAGCTACGTAAACAAAATAACTAGAACCCCGGGAACTAAACATATTTCTGGGCGTAACCTCAAAACCTTTTGCTTCTGACTAATAACAACTTCTGACTAACAACTTCAGAAACTTTACTGCTTCTGAGCAACACTACTTCTGAGTAATACATCAGAAGCTTCTGATTCTAATCAGCAGCTTCTAAATATAAATTACTTCCAACACTGTCCCTTAATTCATATTCAGCTAACCAAAAAACTATAACACCAATTTCATCCCTCAAACGAATAAAGTGTTCAGTCTTAACATCCTTTGTCAGAACATCTGCAATTTGCTTCTGGTTGCTATAGTGTGCAACTTCTAATACTCCATTTAAAAATGTAAATTTCTCCTTGAAAACTCATCTGACGCTGATGGCTTTCTTCTCCTTTGAAAACTCAGTTAACTCTCAAGTCTTGTTTCTTTGTGGCCTCTAAACTTGTTCAGAATCCCTTTTTGATTCTGTAATAGAAGTTCGACTACCACCAGAAACTTCACCTTTGTTAGATTCTGGACTTTGTCCAAAATCAGTACCTTCAAAAGTACCATCTTTAAAAATTGGATCGCCTTCAGAAGCTCTGCCTTCAGAAGTTCCACCTTCAGAATCATGACTTTCATCAGAGGCTGGACTACCACCTTTAAAATCTCCTCCATCATAAGGTCCACCTTCAGAGTCATGATTATCATCAAAAACATGATCATCTATAGAAGCTTGTCCTCTAGAATCTACTTCTTCAAAGTTTTCCCTTCTAGAAACATGATCATCGCCAGATTCAAAATCTGGATCATAATAAGATTCACCATCTGATTCATCTTTAGAGTCTCCAAAAGATTCTTCATCTTCTGACTCTGACACTTCTCCAGAAGTTTCAAGTTCTGACTCATCTCCAGAAGCAGAATCTTCTTCAGATTCTAACTCATCTTTTGATTCTTCTTCAGACTCAGAATCACCTTCGGATTCTGACTTGTCTTCAGCGTCAGAGTCATCTTCTGACTCTGACTCGTCTTCAGAAACATCAGATTCTGACTCATCTTCAGAATCTCAACGTCATCTTTTGATTCTGACTCATATTCAAACACTTCTTTAGAGTCATAATATTCACAGTTATCTTCTTCCCCTTCAGAATTAGAAATTGATAATCTCACAGGTTTCTCATCAGATTCATAAGCCATCAATAGCACAGATTCATCATCAGAATCTCCTATGACTATTTTCGCTTCTTCTGATTTCCTTCCCTTATTTCACCAGTAATCCTTAGCAAAATGGCCAAATTGCTTACAACAGTAACATTGAACCATTCTATTGTCATACTTCTCATTTCCCTTCTGATGTTTATTTTCATCAGAATATAAGACTTCTAACTTCTGAGACCTACCATGTGTTTTCTGCTTCTAGTTCTTCTTGATAAAAAAAAGCCTCCAGAGCCTGCTCATCTTTTCTTTCAGAAGTTCTCTCAGTCAGACACAACTCTTGCGCCTCTAGACTATTTTGCAGTTCTTATATTCTCATGGTGTCCAGATCTTTAGAATGTTTAATTGCTATAACAATGTAATCAAATTAAGGAGTAAGAGGCCTCAATATCTTCTCAATAATTATTTGTTCAGGAAGGGTTTCTCCACAAGCTTTCACTCTTTAGTGATCAGAATCACTCTAGAGATGTACTCAGAAACCTTCTTGTTGTCCTTCATATTGAGATTTTCATACTGCTTTCTGAGAGACTGAAGATTCACCTTCTTCACTGATGTGTCACCACTGTAACACATACTCAGTGTGTCCCACACAGCCTTCACCGTCGTTAAATCAACAATTTTATCAAACACGTTCTCATTCATACACTGATGGATGAAGAACAACGCCTTCTGATCTTACTTCCTTATATCTCTCCGCGCATTTCTCTGTTCCTCTGTCGCATCTGCTGCAACTGGAAAATAACCATTTGTAACAAGCTCAAGAACACCATGAGCGCCAAATAGCATAAGCATTTGAATCATCCAACGATTCCGGTTTTTGCCATTAAATACTGGAAGCTTGGTGCTTAGACTACCATTTCCGGTCATCTTCAACCTTGTACAGAACACTCAGATCTCACAAACACAGTGTTTTCCAATGCCACATAATTAAAAAATATGATTCTGTTCAGATTTTGTTCAAGATTCAACATGAATTCAAGAACCAAAATCAATCACACAATGCCTCACCATTTCGCTCGTGTTTCCCGTGGATTTCAACTGGAGCTCTAGATGCCAATTGTTGGTGCACAAGGTTAATAAATGAAGAAAGGGTATGAGAAATTAATATTATAGCTCTGCAATGACGACTATAAAATTTTAAGGAAGAATAATTGAACTTGATATTATTATGATAGCTACTACTTGCCTATTTATACACAAAATAAAATTGTCACATAGGCCCTAACAAAAAAAGTAAACTTAATAACTACGCAAACTAAATTTAATAGATACGTAAACAAAATAACTAGAATCCTAGAAGTTAAACATACTTCTTGGCATAACCCTAAAAACTTTTGTTTCTGACTAATAACAACTTCTGACTAACAACCTCACACTACTGCTTCTGAGCAACACTAATTCTGAGTAATACATCAGAAACTTCTGATTTTTTAATCAACAGCTTCTAAATATGAATTACTTCCAACCAATAGAAAACCAATTTTAATTAAAAATAACAATTTTTTGTGTCAATTAAATTTCATAATATGTAAATATATTCATTTCGGTAAAAAAATAACATTTTACAAAAGCAAAGCTAAATCATTTCCTAAAAATAACCAGTAAGATACAAATTAAATACTAATAAAAAATTAATCATATAGAGATCTGGCCACCTAAGTTAAGGTATATGTGCGCAATCTAATTGACTTTGCCATAGTAAATTTAAGGGATCCATAACAGTTTGATGTTTTAGAATTATTAGGTTAATCAAGTTCGATTTCTTAGACAAATGGAGGTGGATGGTATTAATCCTTTTTGGGGTTATTCTTTTAGTTAGGTATGGTTCGCGATTTTCCATATCTTACTTCAGTAGTTCCTCTATGAAACTTAGGGGGTTTTTCTCTTGATGAAGGATGCCTCCTTGCTCGATACCAAGGTCGGTTGTGCAGGGTGTTTTTCTCTTATGGAAGGATGCCTCCTTGCTCGATACTAAACTCGGTTGTGCTTTAGATTGGTTTGAGGGTAGTGAGTAGTATAGACTATACTTTAGACTTAGTTAGTTACATATATATATATATATATATATATATATATATATATATATATATATATATATATATATATATATATATATATATATATATATATATATATAATTTTTGTTCCTTTTTTCTCTCTTCTCTTGGTATCTTTCATGAAAGTTAAGCTTGTAGGTACAAACCTTAATATGGTATCAGAGCTATCTCAGATCTCATAGCCATTGTTGCTTGCATCTTGCCTCTTCGTTCTTCCTTTCAGAACACTTCTTGATTTCGCGTCTCCTTCAACTCTGCAACAATGGCGTACCAACAATTTCTCGATTTTTCGACGAATTTGTCCAATCCATTATATCTGCATCCAAACAAAATTCCTGCCTTGATGCTTGTTTCACTAGTTCTTGATGATAATAACTACCATAGTTGGGCTAGGTCAATGCACATTGCATTAATCTCGAAGAACAACTTATCTTAGATCCTCTATATGCTCCTTGGATTCGTTGCAACACGATGGTTCTCTCTTGGATTCACCGTTCCATATCTGATTCCATTGCGAAATTTGTTCTTTGGATTGATTGCGCATTGGAAAAATTTGCAGCTTAGATTTTCTCACAGTGACATTTTTCGCATCTCTGATATACAAGAAGATATATATAAGCTTCGCCAAAGTAATCTCGATGTTTCAAACTATTTCACTCAATTGAAAGTTTTATGGGATGAATTAGATAATTACAGACCTATTCTTGCACGTTCTTGTGCTATTCCCTGTTATTGTGGTGCCATGCCAAGCAATATCGTGAGCAAGATCAGGTGATTCGTTTCCTCAAAGGTCTAAATGAGAAATTCACTTACTCCAAGTCTCAAATCATGATGATGAGTCATCTTCCTGACATTGACAAATCATTCTCCCTTATCATTCAACAAGAACGCGAACTGAATAGTTCAACTCTTATGCTAGCTCAGGCTTCCACTGCTACTGAAGAATCAAATGCCATTGTTTGTCAGGTGAACACTACTAATAGAAAAAAATGGTAACAATGCCTACAGAGGACGTCATCAAGGCAATGCTCGAGGCCATAGAAACTTGTTTTCTCAAACATGGGTATCCTCCAGGATTCAAAGGCAAGAGTAGGACAAATCAATCCCAGTCTAACAGTCAGTCTGCTGCAACAATTAATGTTGTCTCAGATTCCTCAGCATAAAGTTCAATTGCATCTCCTTGTAGTTTCACTCTAGAACAATACAATAATATCCTTGTATTGTTGCAATAGTCAAATCTTATACACAAGCCAATTCCATCTCAACCTCACCTTTTGT